AGTGAACATTGTCATTTAGACAAAATACAACCTTTTACAGTTGTTACCTGAACAGGAAGCAAGGGGAAATCTTCTAATGCGCATATTTCTGGTGACAACCATCTAAGGGATTTTGTTTCTTTCTCCTCAATAGGAAACAGATATAAAAAAAAACCCTGTCAGATGCTCTACCCATTCCTTACTTTATCCAAAACTGAAAATAATATTTAGCTAGAGATACACTTTAAGAAAATCAGCTGCAGTATGTAGCTAATGTGCTGTATAAGCATTAAATAAATTAGTAATTTGGCATAGAAACTGAATACCAGAATGCCCTCACCATACATATTGCTCTCCAATTCCTAACAGTGTAGAATAAAGCCCATTACCTAATTTATAATCCTTCCTTTCTCTATGTCTCTAGCACTGACCTCTAATAACTACCCTCAATATATTACAAGACATTACACGCTAACCTTTCTCTCTTCCGGTAACATATAACTTATAGAAGAAAGGCAAAGAATTATGGTTGGATTGAAAGCCTGAAGCTGTCTGGATGCCTCTTCTTATCATTTTAAAGAATTGTCAGAAGGGCAGAGGGATAGTGGGAAGGCCTGATAGGATAAACATTTGCTCTCCCCCTTTTTATGCCTTGGAGAAACATGGCAACTGACACTGCTGACTTCTCTAATAACAAGTTCACTGTTATGCTGATCCTCTTACTTTCTTACTGATGCAGAACAGGTGCTCAATTGTACATATTGCATACTTGCTCTAGGTCAATTACTCAGAAATCACTAAGGTCAGTGGGTCAGCATACCAGAGAACAACTAGCATTTCAAGAAGAGGTTTAACAATGGCAGCCCCATATTTTTCTCATGACATTATTTTTCGTAAAATGCAATAGCCCATAGCAACCAGTCAGACTTCACAAGACCAGTACAAGATGTATTCTGATTGGCTGCGATGAGTTACTGCAGCTCGTTTTTGAATGAGGCTTTAGGAGCTATTACTACCAGTACCACTAATTTCTCTACTTATTTAAAAGCTACATGCCCCCGCCCCCCCCCCCCCCCCATCTAAAATTTTAAATAGCTTTGCCTGTTTACTGCTAGCAAGCTAAAATGTCCTCTTGCTTCTCATATGTCTCAGAGACTCCTCTGGAAACATATCACTACCAGTTTCTCTTAACTGCCAAAGCCAAATGATGGTGTCAGAATAGCACAGGCAAAAACAAATCATTGGTGGAATCCAACTGCAAAAGTAGAACACTACAGTAAGAGGATGATAGGAGATTCAACCCATATCAGTTTTAGGGGTGAGTTGTCCTTAAAAAGATTCTGTCACTTTGCCTATTCAGTAAGAGTATCTTCAGTAACCCCCACCCCCCGATCTACTTATACCTCCTCTTCTATCCTGCTGTGGAATACCAATACTTCTGGGTATGAGGGAGCATTTGACCTCCTTCCATGATACAGTGCTTTGGCCTAGCAGTGAATGACCAGGCATGAACACTGCCATGTAAAGAGCAGGACACGTCATGAACCCTCTTTCAGTTCCAACACCATCAAACACAGCTTACCCAGGGTTAGGACAGCAGAACTAAGCCAGAAGGAGTATGCGGAAGGTAAGTATAAGTGACCCTTAATAGAAAAGTGACAGCATCTCTTTAAAGTTTGTACACTTACTACACTCCAGTAATGCTTAGCCTTAGAACTCCAAACAAGCAGTAGAACTCCAAACAAGATGGAGTTCTACATGAGACTGTAGGTGTGCTTTGCCTCCCCTCTATTGTATATACAAGCCCAAGTTGCTGCCTGAAATGCTGGAACCCCTAGGCCCCCAAAAGCTTCAAAGCAGAAGGTGCATAAAACTGCGCTATTGGATAGGTTCACAGGCTTAGAAATACCGGCACTTCAGCTGATGCTCCCCATTTTCTGTTTCCCTTCCAGACTCCAGAGAGGCAAGCGAAGAAGGAATTAATGTTATTGTTATAACTCAGTGACAGCCAGGCCACCTCGCACACAGGCAGATAAATGGATTTTTGCTCAGGACCACCGCAAGCGCCAGTGACAGAGGCAGACATTGAACCGATGACCTTGCGCATCAGAGAACAGTTCCTTAAACAATATGTCACATCTTCTCAAAAAGCCTTTTACACTCCACGCAGAATGACAATCCCAGAGACATTAAAGGTCAGCTCTCTCCCTGTGTAACCTCTATTATTTCTGTGATATGATGAGCACAGACTGTGCATAAAAGCCCAACACAAAGCGGTAACTGCAGCTGATTATGTGTCAAGTACTGTTCTACACCATAATTATGTGCTTTTATGTACCATTTACAAAGTATGTGTGCTTCATCAACAGGAGTTTCTTCCTCCCCTATGCAAACTTCTCCAGACTGCACACAGCCAAACGTTTTCTGTGCGCGTTAAGGATTTTTTATGATCTACAAATGATTTCCACAATTTCCTATGTATGATATAATGTGTAATTAAGCAACGCATCCTGAGATATTTCAAACTGCATAGTTTGTAGCTAGAACAATTTCCTCGCATTACCTCTCTTCCCTCATTCCTTGTTTAGGAAATATAAGCTTCCGTCTAATGCTTTAATATATTTATTTATTGTTTAGAACAATAGGAATGTTCCTGCTTTAATAACGTCGTTTTGCACTCTAGTTTAATTTCTTAAAACTGCAGGCATATGTATAATAGACATCGTCGCACAACATGTTGCTTGGTTTTATATTACATTTGACTCTAATAGGGACTGTATGGTATAAACTTCTTTAGGATTAGGGGCTAATGGAAACTGTTGGATGTACCGTAAAGCACTGCATGATTCCTTAGTTCTAAATAAATAAATAAAATATTTTGTAAATATTTTAACAAACAGCTATTAAAGGGTACTGTATGTATGGCCATACATTTTCTTTTTAGCTTTATATAGAGTAGGAAGGGTTAAAACCATTTTTTTTTTGTTTGCTGTTTATGTCTTGCTAGTTAGATTTTCCTTTACCTCCTGTTGCAGAGACGCAACAGGACGTAAGAGAAAATCCCTTGAGAGTGAGGGGAAATACCCTCTTATACACCTGTCAGCAGAAGCTCTACATTAATGCAGCCACTAACTATCCATTTTTTGGCTTTGAAACACAAGCCACAGGTAACACAGGTAAAATTTACCCTAACTGTCCATCCTATTGACCATTATCATCTTGGCAGAACGTGAGAAGCAACACACAATGTGTTTCTGATACAGGAGTAAGCACCGGGAGGGGAGGGGACACCAGTTCCAGTGACAACTGTAATTTTGAAAAGCTCTCACTTTCTGTCATGGCTTAAGAACAGGAAGTAAAGGAAAACCTTCCCAGTGGGGACACAGTCAGAAGTTAAAACTGGAGTTTCTAATTTGTCAATGCCAACTGTTTTAAGAAAAAATAAACAGGAGTCCCACCTATAGTTAATGATGAGCATTGAATGATTCAATTATTCCTACAGGACCAGATCATGACATGGGTGGGTGCAATATAACCCAAAGCAGACACTTCTAGTGAGCCAATTTTAGGGGGGGAAAAAACACTGGTCAGGTGATATTTCCTAGGTGAAAGTTACCCTGAAACAATACTGGTGTTAGGGCTATCTATTGAGAACAGATACTGTACATACACAAATGTAGATGTGTATGCAGTGTTTTGTCATATAAAGAAAGTTAGAATTTATATGCTAATCTGATCTCCACCCTGTGTTATTTCTTGCTTTATTCTTTGTTTCAAACATCCAAAAATACAATCTTTGTTGTGCTTTAGGGACTGTAAATTTACTGTTTGGAATATATGTGCCTCTTACTTCTTAAATTTGTCTATATTACAGCATACACAATTTTTGTTGCACAAGAGTTCACAGTAACAAATTCAGCAGACATGAATACCTTAAAGCATAAAACGTAAAAATGTAAAGGACCTATGTATACGATCAGGCCCCTCCTTCTGTAAAAGTATCTGCATATTGAAAAAGTGAAAAAATTTACCTGTAAGGACCTTCGTTTTCTGCATTGCAAGATGTGACATCACTACCCTTCTGACAAGATTCCCTGAGGAACGATGAGTACCCCAAATCTCGCAGCAAGACACTCCAGAAAGCATCTCACAGGATTTTGCCAAAATGATTGTGATGTCATACTCACCTAGAGTGTGCAGAGACTAGAAGACGGGGATAAGTATATAGTCCCCCTTTTTTCTTCTGGGTATATTTTTGTACTTGTAATATATAGCGATTTTTTAAGGGGGGAGGAGGCCCTGATCTAATAACTGAACCTTGCATTCTAAGGCAAGGTCAGCTTTAAGAATTGTTTTTCTCTTGTGACTTTTCTAATATGTTGTTTATGTATCTACATAGTATATGCAGTTCTATTCATTAATATTTTCATCAGTTCACTATTGTTATGTTATTTAATAGAAACATTTTTTGTTGCACATCTAAAGTGTGCTGTAAGGTACATGTGTTATAGGACACTGCAAAACACAGATGCATATGCTTTGAGGTGCATTGACAGCCAATTCAACATAAATGACTGCATAACATACCACGCTTTGATGGACTTTAGATTAACAATAAACTCTGCATTGTATTTTCCTTAATCTTTTTGTTTATGAATAAAACTAAGTGCAAAACTAAAAACAACATCAAACATTTTTCACTGGGTAGTCCAAATTGCAATGAGCATAGTAATAGACAGGAACCAATTAGATTTCATTACACTGGAATCAGACCAATGAAAGATGAATGATGATCGGTGGCTATTAGTTACTACTTTCTAAACATTGCCCTCTGCCCTGGTATATAAAGCTGTAGGTGACACATTGGGAAATCCATCGCTTATTACATATTATGAAATTAGTTAAGATGTATAAAAGAAAATGGTGGCCAGGCAAAGGGTAAGTTAAAATGTCAAAATAATGCATTACTGTACGGCTGGTTAAATAACAGTTACCAAAAGTTGTGAACGAAAAATGTTTACCTGCGGAAGTCTAACAGCGAGCGAGTTGAAGCCGGAACGCCATGGTCATTCCAGTTGAGGAAATTAAACTGGGTGACAGTGCGGGTTTCATTAGTCTGTAGATTTTTGAGATAGAAGCTTCTGACAAGAAAATCCTCACACCAGATATGCTCAGAGACGAGATTTACCTGGAGAGGGAAGGAAGGCGTAGGGCACAACTTAAGTACTTTACTGAACATCTGCTTCAAATTGTTTTACAAAAACCTGGCATCTCTAGAGGGTTTGACACCTGGCACACTCATACCAGCTCCATGTTAATCAAAATGAAGGGGATTATTTATAGGCGCACACAAGCCACTACTGCGCAGTCAAGGCGCTGCTCACAAACAACTTACACTTGTCTCATTTCCTATCTGCTCTGAGGCTCTTATCTTAATAGAAACTTTGAAACATGATGAGTGAAAGAAAAAAAAAGAGTGTGCAGAGAGAGAAAGGGAGGAGAATTATAAACAGAAAGGGGAATGATAGAGAAGGTTGCAGAGGGGAGTATGAAAGTGGGAAAGGGCAAAGAGGAGAGAGATAGTGAGACAGGGAAGACAGAAGAGAGTGAAGAGCTGCAGAGAAGAGACAGAGAGGAGAGAGGGCAAGAGAGGAAAGACAATGAGAAAGGAGAGAGAGGAGAGTGATAAAGGACAAAGAGGAGAGAGTGTGATAAAGGACAAAGGGGAGACAGAGTGATAGAGGACAGAAAGTGATAAAGGACAAAGAGGACAGAGCGTGTTAACTAACAAAGAGGAGACAGAGTGTTAAAGGACAAAAAGAAGTGAGTGATAAAGGACAGAGGCAAGGGAGAGAGAGTGGTAAAGAACCGAGGAGAGAGAGTGGTAAAGGACAGAGGAGAGAGACTGGTAAAGGACAAATAGGAGAGAGAATGATAAAGGACAAAGAGGAGAGAGAGTGGTAAAGGACAGAGGATAGAAAAGGTAAAAGGAACTTCACATAGTAAAATAGCCAATGGTAAAAATAGCAGCACAACATGCTACAGCATGTCACAGACTGAGATGGGCATGAGAAACTGTGAACTTATAGATTCCCTACATGGACTCACTCCCTATCCTCCTTTTTATTATCCCTAAACCTGTTAACATACCTGGACTCACCTTCTCTTTCCTTTATAATATCTTATTCTTTCTACCACAAGCCAACCCAAAATTGCTTTGGTAATGCTAAAATGTATTTGGTCCTACCAATAAAGCTAATTTGAAGGAAGAGCAGAAAGGAAACTGTGCAAAAGAAATAGAAAAGAAAGAAAAAAAGAAAGAGAACGAAAAAGGGATATAGGTAGTGAGAAGGGGAGAATGTAGACAGAACCAAAGAGCAGGATAAGTGATATATGGAGAAGGAGAAAGGAGGGAGAAAAAAAAAAAGGGAGAGAGGAGAAGGAAACCCAAATAATAGGATCAAAAACATTTTTTTTGCACTTTGCACAACGGATATAACAAAATGTTTCCAATTGTTTATTTAACTGACTAAAGGGGAGAAAATAATAGAAGTGCATTTTTAGGCTTTGTTTTATTGTAACATGTATTTTGCCTATCTAGAGGCAGAGCCAGCTGTACCCGCCCCTCCCCCGTCCGATCCGCCAGTCAGCACTGGGGGATCAGAGCGGGGAGGGGGAATCCAGCCCCTCCCCCAGAGAGAGCTGTGACAGGATCGAGAGGTGAGCGAACATCGGTATATGTTTGCTCACCTCCCGATCTACTGAGCCGATATGTAACAGTCTCATTGTCACAGGTCGGCTAGAGCTATAAGGGAAGTGAAAAGCACTCACCTCATAGTTCTCATTTAAGAAAAATAACAGAGAGAGACAAGTAAATAAATTACAGAAATCAATAAAGACAAATATAAAAAAATGAAAAGAGGGATAAATAAAGTCCCACAATAATGTCCATTAATCTTACTTCATGTAGAGTGTGTCAAAATGCATAGGAACACCATAAGGTGGAAGAACAACTCCAAAGTGGTTGGAATACCACCAATAACTATGCAAGATAACTTGCCACTGAATTCTGCACATGATATAGGCCACCAGAACATTATTCAGCCCCCTCCACCCACATAACTGAAATATTGAATTTTGGAGGACCGATCCTTGAGCCTGAAAAAAAGGTGTTTAAAAATAAAATGTTATTAGTAAAATACAAAGTGACAGTAATACCTCATAGATATGGTAGAGGTTAGAGCCTTCATCTGGCCAGTAGTGGTAGCACTGCTTGACTCCATTCTCCGCCAGTGATGTCAGCATTACGATTACTACACAGCCGTTCTCCCATACCATCTGCAGACAAAAGAGAGACACACTGTGGCCACACTGCAAACGCTTAATTACTGTGTGACACATGTAATTACAGCACTCAGACACACAATCAAAACTCATTCCATTCAGTGCAAATTCAAATTTCATTTTCATTAAACACTTTTCCTCTGCAGCTGCTTCCAAATCCCCAAGTACCCAAGCGAAACACAGCATTCAGAAAACAAGCGATTTAAATATCTTCTCTTTGTAGAAATTGCAAGTGCAAAAAGAAGGCAAACGCCAAAGGATTCGGGGTCTTGCTATGCATTGATAAAGGGCAGAATGATGTAGTAGCTTAGTGAAAATAAACAGATACTAGTAAACATACATTAAAGTCTCTCTTTTAGGGAAAACTTAGGCTCGGTTAAAGTGCATTTAAACCAAAAAACAAAAATGTGATCTAGAGCAGCTTTCCTTAGATGTGGTGGTTGCACTAGGTTTCTTATCATGGGCATTTTTTTCTTTTTATTTCCATCTAGTGATCCTGTGAGTAACACAATACCTGTTCTAGGCTGCTCGATACTGATTTGGACTAAAGAACACCTCGATCTTTCCACATCGCCATAACATAGGGGAGGTGTCTAGTAATCTAGAAGGGAGAATTGGGCAGTGCTTAAGATTTCAATGCAACAAGAGCATAGGAAGTTGCAAGCTCACTAGATTTCTGGCAGAATCAGCATGGGTCATTGTTAGGGTTTACTTACACTTTAAGCCATCATAAAGAAATATCATTCCTGCTCATACATATTATCGCATTGCTGCTTTGTGACTTATTTATGTCACCCATTTACCTTTGTGAAATATTATAGATTACATGTATATTTGTGCTCATGAATATTAACATTGTATTAAAGATTTTTTTCTAAATAGTTTAAAGTGAAAACATCACTATTTGTCTATACTGAAATACACTAAAATACCACAACTGCCCAATAAGGTGCCTCTAATTATTTAAAGAGTATGGCTATTTTTAGGGTTGCACCGATACTTTTCAAGTACCAATGCCGATACTTGGCATTTTCATGAGAACTACCAGGGTTGAAGCGGTTGCAGCTGGGACCTGGCTCTGGTGCTTCACCACTGTCCTGAGATCATTAGTCAATATGGTTTTCGAAAAACTGTCACACGACAATAAACAAAAATGTATCAGTACTCGTACTTGTAAGTACTTGGGCAAGTACCAGTACTTGTACTTGAAAAACTGGTATCTGTGCATCCCTTTATTTATTTAAAAAAAATCATACATTAAAACAGAGATGTACAAATCCCAGGAGCTCTGTGTGCTCCTTACAAATGACAGCTGCCTCCTAACTTTTGAATTTTTCTCTAGTCTAGTCTTGGAGCTCGAAAAGTATCTGTACTTGGTATCGGTGCATCTCTAGTTATTATTTTTGTATACTTTTTCATTTGCTCTTTCTTTGTAATGTTCAGAGCTAAAAACAATATGAATATTTTTTTCAGGTAAATACAACATACTTCGAAAACATATTTTGTGTTTTAAGTGAGTGGGTGGAACTCTTCATGTGCTTATTAAATTGACCGTAGCTGCCTTGCTGAAAAAAGGCAGCTGTTTACTGAGCCCAGTAGCATATACAACTGAATGACTTGAAAGAGTGACTTAAAACACCCCTGACCCCCTCTGCTTTGTTCAGCTGCCTCTATACAAAATTTCAGTTAGAAAAAGATAGTCTGAAAGCAAATAGCTTCTGCTGTGTTCTATCAGTAAGGTGCACATTACAGAGTAGAGACTATTTAGAGGAAGAGGGGGGTCATGTAATTGATCTCCAAGCTTGAGTGAGTGTAAAGGACATTCCCGGGTTCGGGTACTCATGAGGAGGAGGTTTTCATGGAATATAAAATACTTGCTACTGGGTATTTGCAGCAGTTTAATATACTTGGGATAATACCGTAGCAGGTTCACATCAGGAAATTCCTGTTCTCAAAACACAATAAATTCACACTAAACTGGCTACATGTGGATTGGACTATACCTACTTCACCCAGGCACTTCCCAAAGACTGCAAGGACATTTGTAAGATATGTGAATTCATTATTTAATTTTTTATAATAGACTTCATTAGATGCTTTGATCAAGTTTTAAATCCTGCATTTTACTATATTGTACTACGCGCTCCCCAGGAATTGTCTTCTTCCATGGTATCACACATTCTATAGTGAGAATTAGAACTATCAATTTTAGTCTGCAGTGCTCACAACACTTTAATCTGTTTTCTCTCTGAATATTTTTTTCTACAAAGAGGAAATTAAATAGAAAAACACTGAAATCAGTACAGAAATTGCAATAATGTTTTAAACCTGTACATATAAAGGTAATTCTTTTTTCCTATGCATGTTTTATTTCTTCTATATGACTTTGAGGCAATAAGTATTAAAAATCTACTGATTTAAGTGTATAATAAACATATTTTTTTTCTTTTGCTAAATTTTAAACATTATTGAGAATCCATCATGTGATACAAGATAATTTTTTGAGATTATCTCCAAAAAATGTATTTAAGCCCTTCTGCAATAATTGCAGCAAGGCTGTTAACATGTTGTGAACATTGAAGTATTTACATATTGTTAACAGGTAGTAAATTAAATAAAAACAAGCCCTCAATGACCTCTTCAGCTGCGGGCACTGCAGAGAAATTCATCCTCCAAATTCACAGCACAAGTACTGTCCTTCAAGTCGCCTTGAGCCGCTGACAGAAGGACTTGATCTTTGAAGATAGATTACTGTACGGTGCTTGCAGCCACAGAGGTCAGTGAGAGCTTGTTATAAAGCTTATTTACTGCTTATTAAGGATTTGTAAATGTAGAATGTTCAATGTTAAGGATAGGTAAATGTTGAATGTCTGGGGAAATCATTTTAAGTTCTCATTTACATATAGGTTTGGTATTACACTATTGCAGAAAGCAGCTATGCGCAATGGAGTTTGTGTACATTGTCTGTTTCTGTCTGGACACTAAAGAGAATTTCTTAGCATACCCGTGCCTAGAGAGAATCTATTATTTCATGCTAGACTCAAAAAAAATGATTTAGTTGTCCAGTTAAAATGATGCATACCCAAGCATTCTTTCTTAGGTGAAGTCGCTTTCTCAGAAGAAAATACATTTTATATGAAAACAGTAAATTAACTCTTTTTTACCTGCCAGAAATCAGCCACAGTAGCAGGAAGAGGTCCTTGAGAAGCGATATAAGCTGGATTTCGGGGATCGTGGTCCATCTGTAAAGAAATATAGACATCACACTGTTAATAGGCATATCATGAACTGTGGGACTGATACATGATATGTGGCATAAATAATGTTCGGTGCCTATCTGGTACCTTTTTCATTTGTAAGAAAAGAAACTAATCAGGCACAGGCCAGCATGGAAGCTTGCAACATTTTCAGATGTCAGACTATGCAATTTGTCATGGCAATGTGACAGATTATGATACTTGGGTATTGTCCAGGTTAAATAATTAGTCATCCAAAGTGTAACAATATACAAAAGTTGGTTGGGAAATCCACACAAAAACATATGTTAATTTCTATTCATTTAAACATCAAGTTTGCCCAGCTCCCTGAGTCTTCCTAATGGTCCAAAAAATAATGTGTAGCCTCACTGACAAATAGGGAGGGCAGAGGTAGAAGGATACTCAGCTGCCTGTATCCCTAGATCTCCTAAACATTTTGATACACGGTTTTCATTGAAAGTAACTTCTGCGTATGCTTTTTTTTAATGGTAGATTTGTCACAGGTTCACTTTAATTTTAAATTGACATATGTCATCTGGAACAGTGCTCCTTAAATCCAAAGTAGTGAGACCTGCAAGTCTTTTTTTAAACATATTTTTACATTGTGTGTAACATTTATATTTATTGCAACTTTTGCATTAGTTTAAAAGTTTAACTATTTTAATAATAATGTATAAAATACTTTAGAACTTCCATCTTTGGCAAGCAAGTTAAGTCTTGATGATATTACATTACCTTTTGTTTAGGAAAATTGGGTGTCAAACCACAGATATAAGTTCGGCTTTCAGCTGAAAGAACCTTCCCAATTTATTCAATTTATTCAGCGATATGATATACAGTTATATGCTTTACCGCGAGCATCAATATATCCAGAAACAAAATGATGTTCTAGTGAAGCCTGTATTTTCTTTCCTGGCACAAGACTACAATTTATATTTTCCTTTGCATATGCACTAGGAGCTGACACAGATTATGCACTGGTGGCTTTGGCTTTGAGGTATATATATATATATATATTTAGAAAATAAATTTGGTCTAAAATAAAATTGCTGTAGATTCTTCAGATAACAATTTCTTCCTAATTGGCTTCAATATAAATTACGCTGTTCTCCTAATCCAAACACTGAAAACCATTTGATCTCTTGTGTTAAATAATTCATTGTGAGCCCTGCAGTGCCTAACATACTGACTATGTATGTCCACCCACAATAAAATAATAAAAAAAATTCCCATCAGACTTAACACTGTGGGGGCCTCATGCACAGTTGTTATTCTTTTCATTATTACAGAAAGTGTTTTTTTTCCCTTTTTTATATCATACATTTATATACGCATAGTGCTTTTAGAAAAGGCCATATCTAACACCCAGCTTACTTGTTATCCACCTCCTCCAGCCTGCTATTTAAGCATATAACACAATGTAACATTTCTGTATTAACAAAAATGGAAAATAAAGCCCAACAAACTTTTTGGCTATGTTTTTTAGAATGTTTTCAGTTAGTTGATAATAACACAAAAACTATTGTATTTCATTATACATTTATACAATGTAAACTAATATAGGAACAGCCACAAAAAGACGAGTAATACAAAACTTGATACATTCAAACACGCCATTATCTAACATGTACATTATTTATAATACAAATAAGTATTGTATTAAGTGCAATGTCACTACATACAAGTAGCAACATCAGTGATGCAATAAAATTTGCCCTGATTTTAGTAGAATACTGTAAAGGTCTGATGGGGGTTTTAATGTTCCGCCTGACACTTTAAAAAATGCAATTGAACATTTTAATGGTTGCATAGCTAGTTGATGCTCTGTGGTTTTATCATATGAGAACTGTTTGTTATGTGACAGCACCATGGAGCTTTTCATTTGTTAACAATCAACTCCTGCCAGAACCTAAAATCAATGAGCTAAAGTGCTAATTCTATACAGAAAGTGATGCCACTGAGCTAAATTACAACAACCACCAAGTTTACCATTACAGGATATCTATAAAGGCTTTGGTCAAGATCAATTTTGTTTAACTGTACAAGGTTATAAACTGATGCATTAAAGCATGTTTTCAATGTTTGCAATAAATCTTTTTATCTATTGATTCTGGGCTTTCTAAATATAATGTTTAGCTTCATCTGCTTAATTATGATTTTCTCAGTCTACTTGAAAATCTAAATGGGGTATTATTTTCCAAAGAGAGAGGGAGTATATCTCTCAGAAGTTTGTGATTTAAGCTTCTGCTATTCAGGTCACGTTGTTTACAGCATAGCAGTAAAGTTAGCTTGGTGAAAATGTAGAGCAGTGGCTTTGAGCACCAACTGTTTGCTGAAAGTGATAAATATTAGATTTTCTTGTAGTGATGTAGTGACTGGTTTGAGTAACCACAGTGCCCAGCTGGGGACTTGGAAATGTTGAATAGCAGAAGCACCCGGAGCTCTTCAAGATTGAGAAGATTTAGCGCATTGCTTCTTGGAAATGCAAGTATGACATTTCTTTTACACGTGCCAAGTGATTTGTGTTTTTTATTGGGTCTTTAAAAGCAGATCTAAACTCTGCTACCGACGCCACAGAGCTTTGCCTTAATGTGAAATTATGCACAGCATATTTGCACATTATAGCAGACATGCTTGTCAAAGTGATGGCAATCACTGCAATTTCCCTCGTTACAGCCATTGACATCTTTGCCCGCTCTTCTTCTGAATTTGGCATCTTCAACCATCTTGATTGGCCAGGATGGAATGACATAACTCCCTTGCATTCACATGGGAGTTAATTCATCCCAGCACCAAAGGCATGCTGACAACATACACTGAGCTGCACATGCATGGCTCAGTGTACATTCAGAAAAAAACATTTCTGGTAAGTAGGAGAGCAGCTTTAAATGCAAAAGTGACATACATATTCTCTTGAGTTCCACTTTAAAATGTCATGGGCATCTAAGGCAAGGTTGGTTTGATAAGCATTTTTGTAAAGCGGTCATGCTTAATGAAATGGAGCTATAAGGATGGGTGCAGTTATCTCAAAGAATAGAATAGCAATCAGTCCACGTTTTCAAACCTGTCTAATCAATCCCCTTTCCACTAAAGTTGGATGGTTGTCTGCTACTGCTAAAGGCATAAGCTGTCTGTTAAAAACAGCTGGCTGGGTAATGATCATTGTATGCTATTGTATGTATGACAAGCCTGATCTGACATAAGATGTAGCAAAGAACAGTGATTATGCAAGGTTTTATATCAGTCTTTTATCCTGTTTAATTATATTAAAATTGGTCCATGCAGTGTACTGTTACCCTGACCATATCAAATGTATCAAACATGTTGAAAAAAAAAAAGGTGTTACACTTTAAGCATCAAAAGACACAAGCTTAGTTTTCTACTGTAAATATGATTAGGATGAAACAATAATCCAGGCTCATCTGTACAACAAGCCAAGTAGTAGAAACATATGTTTCTTTGCATAAATGCCATTACACTGTCATTCAAATTAAATAAATAAGTATGAGGAGCGGGCTGCCCTGCGTAGCCAGCCATTCATGCTCAGCTAGACACAAGCAAGCAGAATCAATACCGATGTGAGCTTTGCTGTCAGGAGCTTCACTATCTGCTACATCACAAACAGGCCACTCGGCGCCTTTTAGTGCTAATCAGCTACTGTCACAAAATCGCTATCTGGAACGTGGTAAACATAATGATTATAGAGCAGCAAAATATGCCATCTGCTTATGAAGTCAAAATGCAATTACAGCTAAGCCAGTCTGGAGACAGGCAAACAATTCTGTGTAGCTGGTACTTACACAAGAACTGCCTATAGTGTAACTCGAGGAAGCCATTGTATGGACTGCGTGAACACTACACGACAACTGTACTAAGGTAGAGGTTTCTGGCACAGAAAGAGTTAAATGGTTTGTAATGATTATTGTAGCTTGTGAGTAGAGTTCACTATAACAGGTTCCGTGGTTATTTGCATCTGTGTTTTACCTGTACTTTAAGAGCCACAAAACCATTGTAAAAAAATGTCATCAGCTGCTGCTTGTGGCCTCTCTCCCATGAAAATGCTCAATGCTTGACTGTCATTCTACTCCATGTTCTTCAGTACTTCAGACTCTTAAAGCATTGTAGCCCCTGAATCAGATTGGCAGTCAGACAACTAGCATTTTCCAAAATGCTAATTTTACCATGTCCAATCTACAGTATCTTTTTCCTTGAAAAGAATCCTCTTTTCTGTAACACAATCACTTTCCTTCCAGGGGTCCACCTGTTCCTTGGACCACCATATTCTCGGTGGGATGTACTCTGAGATGGGGGAGGGGGGATTTTTAAATGATACATCATTTAAGTCCCCAGAATTACACAAGGGGTGATTGGCAACCCTGCCAGGAAGACTGTATTGGGATAATAACTATTCACTACAAGCATCTGGTCTAATCTGGTGACTGTGGGCAGGATCACAACAAACCAAACCCTATAAACAGGACCTTGGGACCCAAACAGATCATCCAGCTGTAAAACAGCTTTGACAGCATAGAATATAAAGCATCATTATAAATTTGAACACAATTTAAATAATTCTGAATCAGTAAGCCAAATAATGTTTTTGTTTTGTTTTGAATAGAGTAGGGCATAGTAAAAACCCTTGCTGGGTTTCTTTTTGCCATCAACAGAAATTGAGCGCTAATCAATCCAAGTAAGGAAAAATCCACACCTAGACAGATGTTCCTGCAACAAGGGTCCTCATTGAAAGTCTTCCCCTCTATTACTGTTCTGTTGACAAATCAAAATCAAACATTTCCCATCATTTTCTGTCCTGGGGACAATGGTCACCAGGATGAACACAGAAGGTGAATCGCCCCAGTAGGGACACAAGCAAATATTTAAAAAAATTACAAGGGAAATATCTCCAACTAAAAAAAATGTTTTGGCTCTAGATCCTCTTTAAATACTCTAACGTCTGGCTGCAGTTCCTTCTATGATCCCATAAG